ATGTGCAGTTTTGTCCAGCGGTGCAATTTTGAAGGGCCCAAAAGGGCCGTTTGATGTTTAGTGGGGAAGGCGTTCTGGAGTAGTATTTTGCGACCGTGCCTGTCGTTGTTGAAGCTTTCAACAGCGGCTTTAGCGCGAACATTGCACACATGAGAAACCAATTAACTGGACACGAAATGGACCAAGAAAGTAAAGTACAAGGCAGTGCGAGCACCGCGCTACAGGGATTCTTCCAGCAGCAGGATGGCCGCCGTTTCATTCGAAATCTACACACATTCATACAGTCAAACCATGCTACCCTCTACGCCTATCGAATCCCACGACATTCGTTGCAGCAGCTCAAAAGAATTGTCAAGGACGGCATGCGGATATTGCACAAGCACCTCCGCCCCTAATGTACTTCCAGTAAAAGGTCGCACAAGGATGTACTATAAAGTGCTAAGCCTTGTGCAACTTTTCCCCATAGTAGTGATCCCTTTCAAACTGTCCACGCGAGCTTGACGTATTGGCACACGGTGGCGCTGCTCATCGAGGATTGTCTTCTCGTGAACGAATTGGGGGCCCTTCAAGTCGAGGGCGCTCTCTGGGCAACAGCGACGACAGCAGTGCAATCGTCCATCTTGCCACCCCTTGGGAACAGCCGATCAAAAAGCGAAGCCTGCGCGACACACGGCACTGATGGGCAGGGGGCGAACACAGCCTTGAATGCTTTTGAGCGCAATACAGTTTGCAGCAAATGCAGCATATACGCTTATATACCGTCAGCATTATGTTGTACTATGCAGTGTTAGTATAACATTGTTTGTACTGTATTGTGCTACGTTGTTAGTGCTATGCTTGTATACCGTTGGCATATACCGGTGCATTCATTCTCAGCGTGTTGAGGACATAGGCCATTAACAACCGTCCTCGCGGATCGTCCAGTTGAAGTTTTCAGCGGCGATCAATTGTCACGTAACACAAATTTCGCCAACGGGGCAGAGATTTCGGCACAGCACCTAACCACTGGCACTTGTGGCTGATAAACGCAGCGCTGTTGCTGTTGATGTCTTTGGTAAATGTTCAAACACTGCCACACATCTGCGAAGCGTCTCCCTCGCGGAGACCTGATACGGATAGTGTCTTCACCGGCAGACAATCGACCCATCCCCTCCATCATCAAACACAGCTGTGCTACTGCAATTGACTCACACAGTCAGCGCTGCCAATCAGCATGGCCTGCGCCTTTCCTACCCTACACTGGCATCACTTGTCAGCCCGACACATTTCGACCTATGTTGACATCGTGTTAAATTGCCCAACTTTGTGCATTGCCGGTGCACTACATGTTGCAACAACCTGTATTGCTATTTGCTTTTTAACCTGTACTTTGCTTTGGCTAAAAATCATCAGCTCTTCGACAGCTGGTGTGAACAACCTGAACCCCACAACCAAGTTACAAACGATCTGACAGCGAACAGACTGCAAAGTTATTATACGGACTGTGATATACATAGTCAATCAATATCTAATCGTTACAACAGACCCAAAAGATGTAGTCCCACATGCGCTTACCATCTACTTGGTCCGCGGGTGGCTGATGTCAGCACGTGCTCAAACACCAATACAACACGCAAACAAGCCCACCACGGATGAAAATGGATACCACTGAAGAAAGCATGGACCAGGTGCCTCACCTCAGTCCTGGACGCCGCTTCCACAGCCCAGGGCGTGCGCGTCTCGGCGCTGCCCGCATTCTCATGAGCGCTCTCTACGATTTTGTTGGCCAGGACCTGCGCCTCCCGCTGGCCCATCCTTCCCCCGTGCAAGGCCAGGCTCTCGCTCACCATCTTGCCAATGTCCTCGACCCACAGGTTGTCAAATACGCCATCGCTGCCCATCACGACCACGTCTCCAGGCTGCAGTGGGAGTTCGTCCACGGCAGCATCGCTGGGCGTGTCTGCTGCCTCAAGGATGTCTGGGTCGCCCAGCTGGTAGGGCATGTTGAATTCGTGCTCTTGTACCTGAAAGAAGCGACAGAACAAAAATGTGGTGGTCCAAACTTCGCATTGCCAAGGTACCGCCCTGAATACTCTGGAAAGCGTTTGCCAGAATGGATGCGACAAAAATGCATCCCTTGCACATTGTGTTCATTGTTGAAGTGAAGCACGGAAATATTTGCACTTGCAGTCGCAAGGTTGAATTTGCGTTTCAGGATCTGGGCATAGGGAAATAACACGTCATCGACAGTGCTTGCGATCGTCAATACTACCCCCCCACCCCCCACCCCACCCCCCCAGCCTCACAAGTGATGAAATGCTGATTTGTCATGATTTGACAGATGGAATCAATGAGCATTCGCACCGCTGGATTTGGGCAAGACAATGCAACACAACAACAACAGCTTCATGTCCGAGGGCACTGCACTGTGATATGTTCTTGCCACAGAAAGGTACAATGCAAGTTTTCGTTCTGAGTGTCATTGGCGGTTATGGGCATGTGCGAGTGCAGCAGTGCAAACAGCTGAACACACAGATTGTCACCATCCCTAGTCACCAGGTGCAAAGTGGGCCATGGGAATATTTGCGAAATACAGTCATTGTATGTTCAGCATCTCACTTTTGTTGAGAACAGACACTGGCTGCCCCTGAACACTCGGGCGCCACTGTCCCCAATGTTGGCAATCTCCAGCCGCCCTTCAGGCTTCATCACTGCCACAATCGCCGTCGAGGTTCCCTCAACCTTGGTGGACTGATGCGCAAACTCCACCACGTCGATGGCACTGAGCACTCGGCCATTACCCTCGACTCGTGATGCGGCATGGCCCATTAGGGTCCGCGAATAGAGCGCCGGGTCAATGCCATCTGCCGCCCACCCGCCCACCCCATCCGCAACCCCGAAAGCTCCCAGGCCCGCACCAGACACAAAAAATGCGTCCTCGCCGCCTTTGTCAACCTGGAGAGAGGATTGCTCAAAGCATAGCTTCAGATGTGCTTGCGGATTGATGTGTGTCTCTTGTATGAATGAGAGACTACAGGTGGGGAATGCCAAGGCAGGTTGCAGAGGCAAGATAGTATTTGCAGAAGAGAGTGTCAGGCATAAAAATTCACACAGTCTGCTGACATCTATGACAGATATAAAGCAGAGATTTATTGGTATCCTCATCGCTCGCTTGCAGCCAGTCAGTGGCTATCAAGTGGTGCGCACACAGCATATTGTTGGAGGTTGATGGAACTACAGCTGCCAAGCTTCAGAGCACCTTACCTACCACCAGAACATGAGAATACAACAAGGTACACAAAGTCCTTGAACTTCCGAATGGCAACAATTTATGTACCCATGTTGGCACCAACCTGCCTGCTGAAGAATTGATCAACTGTACATTCTGGACTGGAGATCAGCAGGTGCTGCAATGAGCATATTTAGTGCATGGACTGAATGGTACCTGGTCTAGTTGTGCAATGTAAAAAGCGAAAGTTGACAGACAGAAACAGTGAGGACAATCAAAATTCACATGACATCTAGCTTGGTGGGAATTTGTTTCACTGTTGACCTGTCGTTTCTGTGCACAAGTCAAGGGCACAGTGATGGCTTCAGCACTGCACAATCGTTAAACCTTGCAGCATGACAATATGCTCAAATCGAGCCCCAAGAGCAGAGCCCCCGAATGAAGCCATAATGTGTGGTTCCGAACAAAAAGTGGCGAGCCTCCCAGGACATATTGCCATGGTCCAAAATGGGCTCCTCACTAATACTGCCCCTGCTGATCATGTACATTTTCAAAGCCAGCAGACTGGCAGTTGTCAAGGCAGTTCAGTTGTGAGCCACCACGGCCTCTGGCAATAAAACACATGCCAATGAGACAGCCATCAGCACCTTGTGCAGATACCGCTGCCAACACCCCAGGTGCACTTGCGCTGATCTGTCATGTCGTGACAAGTTTGGCTTGAGCAGCAGGGTGCCAGCTCACCTTCAAGATGTGCGGAACTGTTGCCCCTGCTGCAATTATCCGAATCTCACCCCCTGTGGCACTGGAAGGTGGTTCTGCATCTGTGCTTCCCTCTTCCATGTCTACAGCCTCATCCAATGCTTTTTCTGATGGCTCCAGTCCCTGTCTTAAGCCTGGTGGAGCTTCGACAATGCTGTTGGTCGCCTCTGATTCTGTCCTGTCTTTCAGGGGCAGAAGTGGTCCCCTCGAAACGATGTTTGCAATTCCTTCCGCCTGTTTGGTGCCTCCAGTCTGTGCCTGGCTTGCACCCGTCACCCTTGACTGTGAAGACCGCAAGGAGGCCATCTCCTCATCCTTTTGCTGCAAACGTGGTCACCACAGTCAGTGGCATACATAATATCATGCCAGCAGGCTGGCATCACCTCAATGCCTCACGTGATCGCTGCCAGCCACCTGCGTTGCATTCCGCAGATGGCCTAACAAACTCCCCAATCAATGCATGTTGTCCAGTTTGCACCTGCCTTTAAGACACAGTGCTGAAATCTTCAACGAAGAGAAAGAAATTCGAACACAGCAGAAAGAGATCCAATGGAAGGCAGCCATCCACTACAACAATCATCCAGAAACTGATATTTCGTAAATGCAAATACAAACATTCACAAGTTGTCAATACACTGCCCATCAATCGAAGGTGCTTTTGCAGGCAGTCCCTTTCTTGTGGCCCACCACACACCATTCTCACATTAATGTTTTACTTTTTGCTGTTGGTGTCGGCATGTGTCTCCTCAATGCTCACCTTGACAATATCTGTCAGGTCCTGTATCTCCTGTCTAAGTGCCACCATTTCTGTCCTCTGCCTCTTAACCTCTCCCTGGGCCTGCTGGCCTGCCACCAGCCTGTCTTCATACAGCTTCATTTTCTCATCCAGCTCGCCTTCCCGCTTGAGCAGACCCTTTTGAAGGTTCTGCAGTTCAGTGAACTGTTGCCGGAGCTGCCACACACCCAACACATAGATTCAGCAAACAGCATGAATCAGTACAGAAGAGCCGAATGGCACATGAATCATAGCATTCTCGCCAGTAGTCTGTAGAGAGAAGCGCTGTCAGTCAAACATTGATTCTCTTGATAATGTACGGCCACAAGGCGATTGGCGAAGCACATAGTCCATTCAAATGGGCGCGGAGTGCTCTAACACTGACAAAAAGCAGCTGGTGAGCAAACTTGAGGGATGCAAGATCAGACTAGTTTCCAAGAGCAAACTTACCGGCACAACCTGGTCAGCAGTTTTGAGTCCTGCTCTTTCAACTGTCTGTCAGGTCAATTCGAGGCGCACCAACAACAGTGCCAAAGTTGGCAAGAAGACGCACAAGAAGAACTACAGCAATAGGGTGCAGTTGCCAATCGTCACCGTCCAAGGCCCAGCGGAAAGCAAGGGCATTGATTCAATTCCAGATAGTGGCAGGGCTAGGTGTTTCTCTAGGAATACAATGCCTGCATCCCATTGACACAAGACACTCAGCAAGCAGCCCCACGCATTGCTCTTACCTCCTCTGAGGACGTCCGTTCCCTTGCCAGTGCGTCTTCCGCCCTCTTCTCTGCCAACTTCAGCCTCGCCTCCTCATCCCCCTTCATCGTCTTCATTTTCTCCGTTCCCCTCCTCAGCTCCTCCACAGACGCCCTCTCCCTTGCCCGCGCCTCCTCCGCCCTCTTCTCGGCATCTCTGACCCGTTCATTTGCATCACTTTCCAAGACTGCCATCTGCTCCACAGTTTCCCGCATCTGTTCCGTCAGGGCCTTTTCGCTTGCCAGGGCTTCTTCGGCTCTCTTCTCAGCCCGCCTCACCCTTGCCTTCCCATCCGCCTCCATGGCCTCCATTTTCTCCGCGCTTTTCACCAGCTGCTCCTTCAGATCCCTTTCCCTCAAGGAGGCATCCTCTGCCTTCTTCTCCACGACCTCCATCTTTGTCCTCTCCTCATCCCTCAAGTCCTGCATCTTGGACTTGTACAAGTCCTCAACCTCCTTCCGCACACCTTCCTCAGTTTTGAGCAGCACTGTGGCAAACTCGGCATCCTTCATGTCAAGCTGGGTAACCAGATTCTCCTGATGGTCCTTCTCCAGCTGCTGCCTCATCTCATCCAGCCTTCACCACACAGAGCAAAAGATCTGAGTATTGAATTGGTGCGAGATAATTTGCTGTCCTAGAAGCGTCAGCCACCAGCAAAAGAGCAACCTTGGCAATGTCGCTTGTGACACCATCTTGACACTGGCTGATGACGTCATTTCGATGCCATTACAGCCACTTGGATGGCATGGCTCACATGGCTCACAGTTGACATCGCCAAGGCCCTTGCTGGTGAAAAGGTCTTTCCATCACATGTCACCAATGGTCTTTTCATTCTTAGAGCATGAGGCTTGGGCAGAGATTGTATCTAGCTTGCTGGGCTGCAGTGCTACCTTTAGATGGGGCAAAGTGTGAGACACACAATTTGGAAGCAATCGCCTCAAAAATGAACGAAGCAACAGTGAATCACAATCGAGCGCCCAACCTGTCCTGCCATTCGCCCTTTGATTCATCCAGCCTGGACTGCCAGATCGTCGCCTGCTGTTCCACCAGTTCAAGCTGTGCATTGGCCCGCCCCACTGCCCTCCAGCTCAAGAATTTGGCAACAGCTGCGCCCATCGCCAGGACCAAGGCAAGGCCACTGGCAAGGATCCCGATCGTTCGGATTGGCCCAGGAGGTGGCAGCGGCAGCGGGGACACACCTTCTGACAGCATGCGTTCATTCTAGCATTGGCAAACAAGAATGCAATAATGAGCCATGTGATGTTGCAATGGGTAAAGGTGCGTTTGGACGAGAGGCAACCATGCCACACAATAGGAATCCCTCCTGAGAAAAGCAAGTGAGCGTAATGTGGCACACTGTGAGAGAGGTAGTGGATGTTTACAAAAGCAGGGCAAAAGCACATGACACAAAGGAGCACAAGCCCCCCACACATCAAATGGGAATGTTGGGAGGGAGTTGGTTGTCAGAAATGGAACAGCCACAAGCACTGTGGAGATGCATTGTGTTGACAACAAATGCCTGGGTATACGAACGGCAGTTGACGTCGTCTGGTAGGTGAAATGGCAGTAATTTTGCACACTCTGACAATGTACTGGACTTGGGCTGACTGATGGAAAGCGTCAGTTTCTCCCCTTGCCAGGGAGGCAATTTTCAACCAACAGAGTCCATGTCCACCCCCAAGATCCCACATCCCTCGTTGCCTAACTAATCGACTCTTGTGTTCCTGGTTTCTTTCAATCCAGTCATCAGCGATCCCTGTCTAACCTTCGATGCACTCAGCATGGACTTATTGGTGGCCTCTGGATATCTCCAGACACCCCCAAAATGCAAGGTGGTAGGGTAACAATGAGCTTACTTGCCGCACCATGTTATATTTCCCTTGCAAACAGTACACAAATCATGTACACAAGGGCGAAGAAGGGCTTCGCAGTCGATGCTGTGAGCCTGGGGCCTCCACCCAATCGCAAAAGCGAAATTTCAACAGATCGCCGATTGGATCTGGCAAGTGATCTGGGCTGTTGCCCAGGACAAATAACTTGGCGTGTTTTAACGAGACAACAGTGTCACCAAGCGTTGCACGCATTTCTTCCCAGCCTGGCCCTGCTAAGCAGGGCCGGGATCGGTGGTAACAACCCTCGCAACTCTCGGCCCTGTGTTGGGCAATTGGGGACAAGCATCTGCGGATTCCACATTGCGGAAAACGAGCTGGGCATTCCACACCTGCCTGTTGCGCTGCGGAAATTATATTCGGCTACGGAACGAGGACCCCGATTCTTCTGGCGGACCTAAGTTCACAACGCCAGGCGCTTCGAGGCAAGGGACTCCCAACATGCCGCCCTCTCGACAGGGGCGCTGCAGTACCTTGCGGCGGGGCACGACGACCTTCGGCTTCTTCCCTGCACCACACACAGGGGGCCAAAACTCAGCACAATCGCAGTGCAATCCATTGCGTCCCCCTGCGCCCACTGGCGCCCATTCATGCCGTTCCCGGCCCCACCCACCCCCTGCGGGAGTCACTTCACACCTCTGGGCACCGCGGGAGTCACTTCACGCCCCGCCTGCCTCCCCCACGCCCTCGCAATCCCAAAAGATCCGCCCCTCAGCCTTTCCCGCCGAACGCAGGGAACCAATCCCAGCGACCGAATCCCGGCGGGCGCCCGGGGCGCCGGCGCCGCGATCGGGCATCCGATCGCCCATTGCCGCCCGGAGGCGGCGCCCGGCATCTCGCGCGGCCGAATGGCGCTTAAGGGCCGTGTGGCTGTGAGCGCCGCCCTGGCGGTTTGTGGCTCGGGGGGGGGGGATCCGGGACCAGGGTGCCGAAGACGGGGTAGGCTGGGCCCCGTGGCTAAGCCGGTGACCGGTGGAAAAGTGACTGCTGATGACGCATATTCCAGTTTGAAGATATATTTCCCCAGTGCCAAAAACGGCTGCTTCCAGTACCAAATTTCAGCCAGTACCAAAAGTGAATGCTCCCAGTACCAAATCCGCCCCAGTACCAAAAACGGCTGCTTCCAGCACCAAAAACGGCTGCCGCCAGTACCAAATCGCCCCATTACCAAAAACGGCTGCTCCCAGTACCAAATATAGCTGCGCCCAGTACCAAATCATCCGTAACCTTGACTCGCCCAAGGCGACTCGCCTGCCTCACTAGTGCGACCTTGGGCGACGCAAAGCAACGAAGACAGGGGCTGTGCGCCCCTACACCGTCGCGCGAGGCCATATGGAGCGTCCGGCAGCGGCGGCTGCATTCAGCGCCCACGCGGATGGGGATCGAGAGCATCGGCGAGGATTCCTAGTGCTCGCGTGGCGACGGGAGCGGGGGGATCTGCAGATCGTGGTTCCAAATCCGGCAGGGCGCAGATGCCTGCACATAGCCCGAGCCTGCGTGGGCTAGAAGGAACGTATGGGAGGAAGAACCGTTTGCAAGGAGGACGTCGAAATGGCCTTCTCTCCCTAGCGAGGTGCGAAGAAAGTTGCATGGACTGTTGTTACGACAACAAAGTGCATATCACCGCAGTGATCCGTCCGTCGTTTGCGCTTGGTTTTGCTCCAGCATAGTCTTGCGGCTGCCGAGCTTTGAAACAAGTTGCGTTTCTAAGTTGACGTTTCAGTGACCGGTCAAGTGCCAATTGTTTCGGCTTGCGTCTTGCGTTGCGTGTTCGCTGGGTTTGGCATTCTCGTCGCGTTTTGGCGCCGCGGCATCGCTGGCTTCGGGATCCTCGTCACGTTTTTGCGCTGCGGCGTCGATGGCTTCGGCGTTCTCCGTTGGGGCGTCGCTGGGAATAGGCCTGGGTGCCCTGCCGCCTGTTGCTCCACAGCCCCGTCCTCGAAATAGCTGTCGTTAGTTTGGTACTGGGCGCAGCTATATTTGGTACTGGGAGCAGCTGTTTTTGGTACTGGGGCGATTTGGTACTGGCGGCAGCCGTTTTTGGTGCTGGAAGCAGCCGTTTTTGGTACTGGGGCGGATTTGGTACTGGGAGCATTCACTTTTGGTACTGGCTGAAATTTGGTACTGGAAGCAGCCGTTTTTGGTACTGGCTAAATACACCTCCTTCCAGTTTGGCTAGCCCGAGGATGGAGTGGACCTGCTTCTCAAACAGAATCCAACAGATTGGTAGATGAGATCTCTAGGTCTAATCTACCAGGTTAACAGTCCGTGGATTTTACTTTATTGTTTATTTTCGAGCTGTTGAATCCGCTGTTTAGAACTTAAAAACGTGAACCCAGCACATGCACCTGGTTTTTCGATTTTACTATTTTTTGGGAATGTCCGGCCTTGTACTAGTTTTAGGGAACTATCATAAATTCAGCTATTTCAGATTCAGCTGGTTGTTCGATTTGGTTGATAATGAGCCTTCTGCGGCTTTCAGATCTACCCGCACCAGATGCCACGAGTGCCTGCGAGTGCCCTTCGTATTGTTCGTGCTCCTCCCTGTTGCGTGCGGTGCCTCTCGGGGGACGTCAGCATCACCTTGCACAACCTTGACCAGGGTCTCTGAGAACACTGCACGAGTAGGGTGCCCATTGCCTTGCCCGCTCCTCTGTCAAAACGTGCAGAAAGCGTTGGACGCTCAGATGTCCAGTGCCCAGGATAGAAAATTTGCAGTTTCGTGTTGCAACCGGTGTGTTGCATTGATCATTCCTGTCCTTTCCTTGGTCCAACGGCACTGATGGTCAAAATGCATCAGGCCGAATGAAGCAGGAAAACGTGGATGGCATCCACAGATGGATTTCGGAATCCCCGACCAGGGCACATGCAATGTGACCGTGGGGATTGCCAGTTTGACAATGCAACCATGGGAATTGCCACTAGGACACTGCGACCCAAGTATCGCACCCCGTCAGACAGACGCGAACCGTAGCGCCAAGTGCAAGGGCTCGGGCCTGACAAAACGCAGGGGCCGCGCAGTTTCCAAACAGCCGAAGGTGACCTGTTATCCAAATTCCGCTCTCTGCAGGGCGGCCACCTGTTGTGCGGCAACGCACGGACGTCCCCTGCGACTCGAAACATGCAGCCGTGGCTCAACGCCTCAGCGAAATGCGCGCCTCGGCAGCGACATCCTACAAGTACCTTCACAGATTTCGGGCTCCCCCTCCAGCCAGCCTTCCAACACCGCCAGGAGTGCACAATGAACCTGACGGCACAGAAACAGCGGGGTCGTGGAAAAACGCGTCAACAGTGCCACACAAAGCAATGCAATGCATGGCTGCGTGGGCAAGCATCAACAAATCCGCGCCCCCAGACACCGCTGCCCCCACGATGTCCCCAGCGCCCAGATGGCCGCACAGCAAAAACACAAATTGTCGCAACCCTACTTGTTCAGGAGGATGAACGATGTTCATCTCGTGCAAAGCAGCAACAGCCCCCACGTCCCCCCTGCGCAAAAAGGCAGCCCGCCACAAGCCTCCAGAGTCACATCCTTGTATCTCTGCAGTTATGAAAACAAATAAGACTACAAGCCACGACATTGTACACACAACTTGGTCCCTCCTTTTACCCGCTTGACCAACATCCCCCCAAAAACAGCAAAGGCCACCCATGGCTACAGCCCATCAGCCATCCGGCCTGGCCTGAGCCACTAATCCCCATCCCAGCCACATCTAAACAAAAAGCACCCACACCCACAGCCCCCCAAGACCTTAGCATCACCAAAAAAAGGGCGACAGTTTGCTGTCTATTCACATCATTCCATCGCGTTTCATTCGTGCCAGATCTTCGCATACCCCGCTTGCGCTTATTTCTTGCCTCGCTGGCTCCGTACCCATGGCACACGCCCACCCTGTTGCCACAGCCATGACTCCACCAAACTGAACCAGGCACCCAGCTGCCAGACGATCGTGCAGCACTGACAGGAGGCAACGCAAAACCAGGTGCATTGGCCAGAAAGAGAATTCCATCAGCCTTCGTCCATCGGATCATGAGACGGCAGGTTGACTTGGGATGCATCGACCATTCGGATGCCGCTGGTGTTGATGAAGTCCACCAAGTCCGAAGAAGTGAACGAGCCCATCACGCTCAGCAGGCTCTCCAGGTTTACCTGTGAGAAGATGGGGCTGAGCTGGACCCCCGAAGGGGAGATGGGGCCCAAAGGTGGGATGTCAGATGGGCTGGGCAACGGCGGGGCCTCAACTTGGGAAACGAAAGGCGACTCGGGCATTATGTGTGTCAGCCCGCTGGTGGTGGGGTTGCCGTCCACAGCCATGTCGTGACCATTCGGCTGCTCCAGTCTCACAGGCTCGGGCTCTGCTGCACAGGACACAGGCACGGGGTCCATCTGCATTTCGTTGTTGCCAAGGTCCAGGCTGCCCTTCTTCCCTTCCATGAACAGTCGGGTCAGGAGTTTCTTGTGCTCTTCCGTCAGACAAGGTTGGCCCTGCCAGCCTTCCAATGGCATTGGCGGCGCTGGCGGGGGTGCCTGGCTCCTGCCATTCTCGTGCGCTGTGGGGTCAATCGGCTCGAACTTGATCGACCCCCGTGGTGTGCAACTCGTCTTCAGCGTCTCGAGCAACGACTCAGCACTAGGGAAAACACAGAGCGGGATGCTGCTGCCATCTCCGTTGGATAGGAAGCTGCCCTGGGGCAGGGCCGTGTAGTCCATGATCTCTGGCACTTCTCCCTTGTCGTCGCCGATGAAGCTGATGTGCACGGGTACATCGTCCATGTCATTAACCTCTTCGGCCCATTTCTTCTCGACAGGGGAGAGCATGTCCTGTCGAGCATGACAACCATTTGTCAGAGAACAGGAGCTGCGAGCAGGAGATCGAATTCGATGCCTGCCACCTGCAGTGATCACCCTGGTCAGTCATGACATGGGACAATTGACACAAAGTTTAATGCAGGTCAAAACAACAGCATGGAGGTTGCCGTGAAGATGACCAGCAAAGCCAATTAGCTTCGGCTGGACCAAGCAAGGCCTTGTTTTGGTGGGCAGAACTCTCCCTGTCAACCCTGATGATTGGACTGCAATTTTCATGTTTTGTGCTTCATTATGAAGGGTTGCATATGTCCGCACATGGCCAATCAGACGGTGCACAATGCATGTTGCTGTACCCAGCCGATTGTGAAACAACACTGATCCGTTCTGCTGGGCCATTGACCAAAGCAGCAATCCAACAAGGACAGTGGCTGCTCTTATGCTGTGCAACTGAGCGCCAGGTTAAAAATTCCTTTGGTGCGCCACTGTTTGAGCAGTTTTCCAACCTCACAGATATTTGGCAGTGAGATGCACAACATTCTTGTGCATAGGCGATTCTGGCAACCACACAATTCATGTGAACCAAGTCCTGCTGCTTTTGCTTCCGACATGTGCACCAAGAGTCACAAGCACGAAAGTGCCTGAGGTGCTGCATGCAACCAGGGAGGAAAATGTTGGAAGCACATTCATGAACTGGCGTTCAACTGCAAGGGTAATTGCAGGCACGATCCAATTCACTGTTTGGGGAAGCAACAGGTGCAGAAGGACTGCGGGCCCACAGAGCTTGCTGTCGGCAGGTGCCAATGGCCTGGTGCAGGCGATCAGTGGTGCCACCCCAAACCCACAGCCAATCAGGAAATGGTGGTCGTTCCCAATCCCTATCCAGCGTGACACCAAATGCCATTTGGGTCAAGCGAGGCGTGCCTTTGTCGTACAGCATCGAATCTAAAAAGGTATAGGTTGGGCTCAGGAGGCCTTTGGATACCTTTGGAGTCAATAAGCCCCATGAAACTGTTACTCATTTTAAGCAGGCTGTGGCATACGCCTGCATGTCTCCTTCTTGAACCAAGAATTCCCATTCTGTGAGAGCCCAGCAACAGCTCCACTGCTCCTACCTGTGGGACAAAGATCTGCCCCACCGGCAGTGGGCACGACATCTGATCCTGCGGTATTATGACTGTCAGGTTGGGCGGTCCCTTCCTGATCTTCATTTCCTCCTCGTGGCCGCTCAGCGCCCTCTGCCGTTGATCCTCCACATGCTGCGCGCGCTCGCTCAGCTCCTGCCTCACCCTCTCCAGGGAGCAGTTCTTCAACAGGTCCCGGCTGCTCATGTCGTTCAGCTCTTGCTGTTCCAGCACAGGAAACATTCTCAGGGGCCAAGCCACCAAAACACACAAGCAGCCTGGCTGGATGTTCGTCTGGCAATCCCTTGCGAGTGATCCCCGACAATAGGAGATATCCATGAGAGGGTCGCCGGCGTGGCATGCACACATTTGCAGCTCCCTCCACTACTCGCAGAGGCTGCAAGCCGCGGACAGCCGCCCCAGCTGCGCTGCCGCGCACAGATTTGTCCTTCCACATTCAGGTCAATCAAACTGATCGAGCGGACGGCATCAGGCGCGGGCGCCGCGCGACAATAGAGCCGCCGATCGCAGCAACCGGGACTTTGACATCATTCGCGCACGCAGTCAATAATGCGTCTTCGACCCTCGCCCGGTCACCACCCCGTATGCCCCTGTCGGCACAAGGGGCAGGTCAGGGGGCCCCAACCCATGGGCAAAGGGCCCTCCGCATGGGCCCCAGCGACAGGATCAGGATGCCAATCCGGTAAACTCACACTCGTCAAAGCCGAGCCCTCCGAGCCCTCCATCATCTCCCCGCTGCCGCACTTGGTCTTCTCGTCCTTCCTGACGATCGCGTGGTAGCGGTTCTTCACCGCGTTGTCCGTTCGGCCACCGATCCGCCGCGCGATCTCCGTCCACTTGTTGCCGTACTTCCCGTGCAGGTCCAGCAGCTGCTCGTCCTCCTGGGGGGGTAGGCAGGGGGGTCGCTTACACAGCACGTCGACACTCCGACAGGCTCGCAGTCACGCCGTGAAACAGCGACACGATCTGCGGCCTACAATCTAGACCCAGAAGGCAGCGGAATCATCGCCGGGAGCTGATTCTGCCCAGGCTTCCGCGCAGAAACCCGCCGGGAACGGATGGGCTGGCCGGGAGGAGGGGTTTGGCCGTCGGTGACACATGGCCTGCCGACTCCGCTCCACGACAATAGGCCAGGAGCTGACGAAACGCGTTCGGGGCGCCAGAGGCGACCGCCACGCCGTTCCGGCATCCACGCCGGCGCGGTCCCGCCGTCACGCGAGAGCCAACGACAGCCCGTCACCGCAAGGGACAGCCCTGCGCCCCGAATGCCCCCCCATCCACGCACCCGCCGACACGGCCGCGCGCGCGCACACCCACCTCCGTCGACCACCCGCCCTTCTTCGAGTTCTCCATATTCAGGTGGTTGAGCCACCGCCTCCGGCACTGCGCCCGCATGACACAGCCACGTCAAAGCCGATCAACCGAGAGGGTAGCCGGCAAGCCCCCCACGGGCAATCCACCGGCCCATCCCGCATCCGGCATCCCCGCGGGGCTCGCCCGCATCGCCGGGGAGCGCCGGAATCGGCGGCCGGGGGGGGACCGCGCGGGCGGAGCGCCACCCCCCCAACCCCACCCCACCCCCGCCGGGCCCCAACCTGCTTGCTAGTCTTGATCTTCATTATCCCCGAAATCTGCGCCCATTTCTTCTCGCCCAGCTCCTCCACCAGCCTACGAAGTTCCTCATCCTCCTGCGGGCCGGCAACCAGTCACGCCCGCCCCTTGCCCGACAACCAGCCCCGAAGCCAAATCGCCCGCGAACATCAGGCCCCCTGAAGGGCCCCCCGAAGGGGCCAAGCAGCAAACGCAGAAAAAGCACGCATGGCGGCGCGCAGCCCCCTCAGGCCACAAACAAACGATGCACCGCCCCTCGGAGGCGCTCATGCCCGCTTTCCACTCACGTCCGGCGTCCACACCGTCCCGGGCGGCATGTCGCACCGGGCCTGGCCCTTGCTGCGGCGACGAACACGTCACACGCGCTCAGACTGCGTCACACCGAGATGGCCGCGAGATCACCGGACACCGCCCAAGGCGGTGGCTGGGCGGCTCAAGGGGGAGGGGAAGGGGGAGGGGATTGGAGGGGCGGGGGGGGCGCCCGGGGGAGGGGCGGCCGGCTGCGAAGTTGGGAGTAGCTGCCACTGAACGGGAATGCACGAGTCGGGGGGGGGCCGCATATGCCCCGCCGGCGCACAGAGGGGGGGATGTCGAACATGGGGGCGAGATGCAATGATGGGGGCGGGCGCATCGGCAGTGCATTGGGGCTGTACCTCGGTGGCGTGTTGGGTTAGTACATTGGGGAAGTGATGGCCAAGGCATTGGGGGTGGCTGGGTGGTACATTGGAGTCGGTGTGATGGGGAAGAAGTTTGCGGGGGGCTGGTGCCCCTCAGGGAGCTGGGGGGACGCTGGACCCGGGGAACCCCGCGCATGTGCGCTCAAGGCTTGATGGCTGACGGGCAGGAGACGGCCCGTTGCAGTTTCGCCAGTAGTTTGGTTTGGCACGGGAGTCTGGTTTTGGATCGTTGAAGGGGGGTTTGCGCGGCACATTCCCTGCAAAGTTCGGCAGCGACGGCAAACTTTGGTTGGGGGCGGGGCGTCTGTTTGGCCACTCGTTGCGCATGGAAGCAACCGCTGTGGACAGGTTTGCTACAAGCGCCCTGCTGTCAAAATGATGCGGTCGGCGATCCGCCAGAATTGTGCCGATGTGGCAATGACATTAACTATCTTGTTAATAGATTTCCACCCAGGACGACGTTGGGTGGGTTGCGCCGAGTTTCGAATCGGGCGCAATCGTATTCAAACGGGTTTCTGGCCCTTCCTTGTACCTTGGGTCAGTCAAAGTACGGAGTGTCCAAGGGTCCGCCCGTTTTGGCGGCTTGGACTTGGCGGGCTTTGGCGGGGCTGAGCGGGGGCGGCTATTTAGGCTCCCCCCTCGGTCCCCCTCCTATCTTGTTTCACTTCGCGCCACTTGTTGGCATAACCCGAAGGCACCGAGTGCCTTGCCCTCCCCGGCCGTCTTGGCCGAGTTCTTTCTATGAACCGGACACCTGCGGAGCAATGGCTTCAAGAACAAGCCGTCCGGTTCAACGACGGTCCGCCTACGGCTTCTCTCGGCGCCGTCTGGCTACCGGACCCCCGACTCCTTCCGCGGTCAGTCACCAACCCGGTGGTCCGACCTCCGGGGGTCCGTTTTCCCGAGTGGTTCGACGTGAGGCGGACTTCAGAAGGCGCGCAGCTCGCGCAGGCGCTGGGGACCAACTCCGGCTACTTCCAGGAGTACCAGAACTGGGCGCCCTACGTCGCGTGGCTCTTCGACCTCACGGCCGCCTTGATCGACTTCGCGGCGCACCAGGAATTCCCGCCCATCTTTTGGGACGCCCTCTTGCCGTACCTCCACGCCCAGGTGACGATTACGACAAGATTGCAGAGCCTAATCCATCTCCAGCAAGTGCACGGGGAGCACAAGGGGACGTCCCTCGACGGGTTGTGGCGCGCGCTCCAGACCAACGTTCGGCTGGGCGCCGTTCATCGCCGCTTTTGGGATCCTTTGATCGACGAGCCGCTGGAGCACATTCGCAAGGAGGTCCTCAATCAGCAGTTGAAGTTGGCGACCAAGTCGGCTGCCGCCAAGAACCAGGCCAACCTCGATCGCGCCGCTCCGGCTCCCAATCCTGCGGGCCCGTCCACCTCCAATGCTCGCCACTTCAAGGGCAAGAGTTCCAAGCCGCCGGCGGGCCCCAACGCTCCGTCCCAGGCCCCCAAACCCGCCGCCTAGAGGACCCTCCGTATGCTCGTCTTTGGGGCCGTCTCTCTGGGTGGCGCCGCATCGGGGCGCCTTCACGAGTCTTGCAATGGATCCACACCGGAGCCCCCCTTCAATGGGGCCCGATGGGCCCTCCGGCCCCCTTCGATCAGGGCGAATACCCCTTGACGACCCCGGAGGAATGGCGAGCATGGCGGGAGCTGCAGGACGAGTACCTCGAGACGGGGGCGATCGTTCGGACCAACCCCCTCTTCCGACGCCCGGATTTTGCGCGCTTTCTTGGTGGCCAAGCCGGCGGAGAATGGCAAGACCAAATACCGGCTCATCATCGATCTTCGGCGAATCAATCGCCATCTCAAGAAGGTTGGTCTTCGTTATAAGAAACTGCGCGATTTTGGATTTCTGTTGAAGAAGCACGATTACTTGGTGGGATTCGACATCAAAAACGCTTATCATCATATTCGGATGAGGGCGGATCAAGAACATTTTCTTCAATTTCGCATGGGTGGGGAGACATTTGCTTGCCGGGCGCTCCCTTTTGGCTTGGCCCTCTCCCCCTTTTATTTCACGCAACTCATGTTGGTAGTGGTCCGTTTCTTAAGGACCCCCAGCTCTTGTCCAAAAGCTGCCACTCGTTTTCGTTTTGGTCGCTTAGCGGGGGAGGATTCCATTCTCCAGTACTTTCTCCAGTACTCGCGGGAGCTTCCCGTGCTGATTTTGGCCTATTTAGATGATTTCATTGCTGCCATGTCGGATCCTCAGCGGCTCACCCAATGGTCCAGTTTGGTCCGCCGGGTTTTCGCCACTCTTGGGCTCGCTTTTAAGGAGTCCAAGTGTCAGTGGGAGCCGGTCCAATGCAAGAAGCATCTGGGGATTATGATCAACACCAATCAGTGCCAATTTCAGGTCCCTCCGGACAAGGTTGCGGCCATTTCGCGGCGGGCCCAGGAGATTAGTCGACGGGGTTTCATTGTCGCTCGGGATCTGGCCAAGTTCTGTGGCTCCGCCATTTCCTTGTACTTGGCTTTTCCGTTGGTACGGTTTTTTCTGACGGATCTCTACTCTCTTTTGCGCGGCAAGCGCTCTTGGCGAGATCGGCTCTGTTTGACCGCCGCAGCTCGTTTGGAATTGGCCGCCTGGGCCCAGATCGGTCGGTTGGCAGGCAGGTCGCTCAATTCCGCATCCTTGGAGCTGGTGGGCACCTTAGCTATGGACGCCAGCCGCCTCACCAGCTGGGGGGCCACTTTTACGCCTCTGGGCGGTGATCAACCCCTTCTCGCCCGCGGATTCTTTGATCGGGAGCTCATTCACATCAATGTCCGTGAAATGCAGGCCGTATACTTGGCCCTGCTGTCTTTCTTTCCTCGCCGGTGCCCCAGGACCGCTTCTCGCCGGCTTCAGTTGCTCGTGGACAACCAGGTGGTTCTGCACTGCCTCAACTCGATGACTACCAAGTCAGCCGGTCTCTTGAGGCCCCTTCGCCAGTTGCAAGCTATTTGTGCGACACGGAAGTTGCTCCTAAAGCCCGAGTACATTCGATCAGCGGACAATATCCTTCCGGACAGGCTTTCGCGTATACGGACTTCGGAGGACTACCGCCTCAATTCGCGCATATTCCAGGAGGTCGTCCACCACTTCGGGGCCTGTTCAATGGACCGCTTTGCGTCCGCTCGGAATGCCCTCTGTGCGACCTACAATAGTCAACATTGGGATGTGGGTACGTCGGGCGTCGACGCCTTCGCACAGAACTGGACGGGGACGCGCAGCTGGTGCAATCCCCCGTGGAGCCTCCTCGCGAGGCTTGTCGCCTTCCTCGCCTCGAGGCCGCAACTGGACGCTGTGGTGCTAGCGCCGGACTGGCCGAGCGCGGTTTGGTTTCCCCGCCTCCGGGCAATGGCGCGGGCCGAGATCTTCATTCCCCGCGGCGGGGACCCCGCCAGCCCAACCTCTTTCTCCCCGGGGATCCGAGCCTCCCGTCCTCCCTTCCACCTCCGCCCTGGAATTTGCGCGCCTTCCATGTGGCGCCGAGGACGCACCCGACGACACTGCGGACCCCACCGGCGAGGACGCCCTGAGCGAACCGGAGGCTCCGGCGCCTCCCGCTGGGGAGCCTCCTTCGGATCCTTTCCCCTTGGAGCCGGTCCCCGAGGACCATCCGCTGTACGGCACTAAAGTGGATGGCTTGCTGGCGGACGATCGGAGCTGGATGGCACAGCAGTTCCTTGCCTCCTATACGGAGGCCACCCGGCGGACTATGCAGGCCAAGTTCCTGCGTTTCCAGGCCTTTTGCAAGGCACATGCCTTGCAGCCGCTGCCCGCTCATCACGCCACCATCTACCGCTACATTCAGTTCCTCCGCGACGAAGGCAAGGTGGGCGTTCGTTCTTTGCCGCAATATCTCGCGGCCATCTCCATGGTGCACCATATGTCTGGGCACCTTGGCTTTTCTGCCTTTGACCCGGTCACCCGTGTCCTCACCCGCGCATGGCGTCGGGATGCGCCAGCCCCCGTGCAACATCACCGCCATGTGCCCATCGAGGTGATGATTCGCATCCTCGACGTGGGATTGACCACGGAGGACGGGGCCTTCCTTCGGGCGGCGTGCGCAGCGTACATCGACTACATCTTTTTCAACCGGGCGCAATCGGGCCACTTCATTCTGGCGGAGGACATTCGGGTGGCTGACGGGGTCGTTTTGTTTCGGGAACGCAAGTCCAAGCTGCACAAGGATGTGGCCCCTCGCTTGCGTTTTCGGTCCTGGCCAACCCAAGGCGCTCCGGAGGTCGTAGATCTCATTCTTCGATGGACGGCTTTCCGCGACCGTGCCTGGGCCCAGACGGACCAAGCGCCTCGCCATTTCTACCGCCTTCTGGGCGAGGCGTCCCCCAGCTCCAAGACGGTGGCCGCTTGGTTTTCGGACTTGCTGGCCAGGCACCCGACCATCGCGCGGGAACCTTTTACGCACCATGGCCTCCGCGGCGGCGGTGCGTCCAGCTGCTTCGCTTTGGAGGTCGCCAAGCGGCGCATTCGGGACTGGGGTGGCTGGAAGTCAGACTCCATGTGGTCGTACGTGGATATTGTGGAAACACTTGGGGTAGGTGCAGTGGACCATTTCTTTCTCTCATTATCTTTAGATGATGGTGTACAGCTCCATATTTATAGTATTATGA